GTTAAGTAATGTCATTAAGAAATCAAACCTCATTTTTTCAGTTTGTGTAGCTGAGCAACTGAAAGGCACAACCTCCATTTACCTCACTCCCACATTTTGAACACAAGGAAAAAAAATATGAATGCAGATAATCACAGGCAATGAAGAGTAATTTCTAGTAGTCTGTCTCCAGGATTGTTCCCTATAGCATATTTTCCAGCTTTTTTTCTGATCATTTTAAATTACTCATTTAATAATCTAATCCTTCTTTTCCTAGGTGTCATGGTTTGAGATAGCCCCAACATCCAATTCCCTAGCTCCATCCCCCCTCCCACATCTCAACCTAATGTGAGAGAGGTTTTTCCAGACAAAACACACCAGACTCAAAGTGGGGAAAAGGGAATATATTACAATGACTGTACAAATAAATACCATATCACATTATACACATGATCACAAACTATCTCTACCATGACATATGTATTTACAATGGATCAGATCTCTTCTCTCCTCCAAATAAAAGTCCAGGAGGGAAAGAAGGACAGATCCCTTCCAGTCCTTAAACAGCAGCATCTTCTGAGGCAGCAGGTTTCTTCTTCTCATGCATGCAGCAGCTGATAGCTGGCTTTCTGCCAGCATCCACGAGGGAGGTATTCAAGCTCCCCCGGCCCCATCGCCTCACAACCGAGGGGTCTTCCGTGGACTTCGTAACCCCAGACAAGGTCGTTTCACCACGTCATATCACGAAGACACAGGGGGGTCTTCGTGACGGTCTGGTATCTCCAGGAGATTCAAGCTCCTTGCAGGGCCTCTGTGCCCTGTCTCTCAGGCTGCCACCGTGGCAGCAGTGCAAGGGGGGGAAGCCAAGGTCGCCCCCCCCACATTCCATCTGGCCGTCCCGGTCCAGCTGCGGGACGCTCCGAGCTTCTCAGCTCCTCTCTCTCCGGTGCTGCATGTCTAAAACTGCTCTCCAAAATAGGAGTCCATGTCCCTCTTCTCCAAGAGGGATCTCAAGGGAGTTTTGGGGGAGTGTGGTACAGTCTTACCCCCAAGAACTCTGTAGCTCTCAGTTGCTGGCTCTCCTTTCCTCGGCTCTCCTTCCAGGAGTCCTTTCTCTGGTGCTGCATGTTGCTTCTGCTGCTCCTTCCAGTTCAGGTTCTTATCTCTGGCTCTCTGCCACCGTTTCTCTGGTCAGTGTCGGCTGCTGCTCTGTGCCCATGGAGAAAACATCTCCCGGCATAACTACAGGCACCTAGCCCAGCTTTATGCTGTTCCAGGTCCCTGCAGCCCCCCAGCCAGGGGCTGGGAGGGGGCCAGAGGCCCCAAGGGGCTCAGAGCCCCTACCTCGTGGCTCTACAACATGGCCACCTCTCCCAACAACCAAAACTACAACTCTTCTTTTCCGGTCTGGTTGTGGTATGTTTACATTTCTGCAGGAGTGCCCATTGGGCAGAACTTCAAAACTTCCAGGGGTTTCCACCCCTTGGGGTCTACCACTTCTCTTAGTCTCTGGGGAAAACAAGGTTCAAACCACTACACTAGGGGAGACTGTTTTGCAGTGCAAGATGTTCATGTTATGAGGGTCTCTCTGTTTAACTTATCCCATTATTCCTAGTTATGTATTCTAATATCAATCTACCTGACTCCCTTTTCAGCATCCTGCAGCCTGTTTCTTTGTGTTCTGTCAATACAATAAACTGATTTTGCACCAAACAAAGAACTATAATTGTTATTAGTTTCCCCACCTCTCTACCTATTCCATCCAGGTTATATTTAATGTCATGTACAGTACCAGCTTATTCTCACGATAAAAATGTGGCTGGTTTTTTTAAATATATGAAGAAAATATTGTTTGCAAAATCAATGTCAGTTTAATATATTGTGCTGCTTTCTGGTTAGCATGTGACTCCTTCTCTTTAAAAAGCAAGACAGCTTTTCCCCAGTCACGAAATTAGGAAATTTTGCACCAATAAGTAATATTCAAATTGAGCAATGATTTAGGGCTGCTTCAGTTAAGCTTTATTGCTTTTTCTTCAGCTCAGATTTGTAGTCAGAAGCCAGGACTGAACAGAAATGTTTTTAGTTTTGATGCAATGACCTTTTGGACCATAGATCCCTTGGAGAATTTGAAACGGAATAAGACTTTAGAGTATGGTTTGGGGTTAATTGTTGTTAGGTACACTTTCAGCCTGTGGTTAATTCAAGGTCCCCAAATCCTGTAATAATGTTCCCTTTGTGATCATGCTGATGTTCTCTTTCATGAGCAAAAACAGATTTGGACCTAGGGTATAAACTACATTGAGCTGTGCCATATTCCAGCTGCTTCACACATTCTTAACTCACGTTTGATGTGAGTTTACAGGATACTGAGGGCATTTTTTAGAAATGACCAGTCATGCCAGTTGATAACATGACCATATCTGAGTGAAAAATTGTCTCCTCCTGGGAAATACCTTGGAATGTTTCTGTTTAGTTCAGCAAATAACATCAAAATGTACAGGAGCTGAATTTCTGTTCACTTCAGTAATGTGATATTCTACTGCTGACAGCCTCCCTGGATGGCTTGTAGTCAACTTTCCAATCCAATAAACCTACGATATGGGCATAAAAATGAAGCAGAGTCAGATAACCATAAATGAGAGAGCTCTGCCAAGGAAACTGACAAAGCACTGTGCAGGACCCAACAATATAAAATAGACTGGCAAAAGAGAAATTAAATAGACCCGAGATGTAGGAATTTTCCCAGTCAATACCTCTATCACATTTTCACTCCCCGAAAGCCTTTCTTTTTGTTCCTCAAGGCCAGAAAGATCTACTGGAATATGAGGGAGATCGCTTGTGTGAAAGTTAATGGTCTTAATCCCATCACCTGATTCACTTGAAATTGCACCCATTGTTTGAATCATTCAAGGGCAGATTTGTAGGGCAGAACTTTGTCATCATACAAGAGGTGACAAATGTTAATGATATTCAGCAAAATATTTCCCCTCTTCTCCCATTCTTTGTGAATGCTGGCCCCACCTATGCTTCCTTGTGCTGTCTTCTCTAATTCCTTTTTGGCTGAAGTGCTGGAAAGGCTGACTGGTGCCCAAGATTTCCACTCTGCCTGAACGAAAAGTGCTTCTAGCACAGGTACCTCCACCCAGACCAGCAAGCACAAAGCCCACAGGCATGCGCAGGGAAAGGTTGCTCATTCTCATCAGAGAATGGGAATAATAAGAAAAAATGTAAGAAAAAACCAAGAAAAATTAGTTCTTGTATTTTCTTCTTAGTACAAGTTCTGCATTTGAGATCTCCTGAGATACCACTACGATGTGCTGAGGATAAATATCATGCAGATAAACTATGGCAATGGAATGATTTTTTTTTGCAATTGAATTATTTGCCTAGGCTGAAAAGAAATATGTTACCTTCTGACAAAAACTGATTAAATCCATGAAGACTTGATAAACCAGCACTGAAAAGGCTATTGTTTGACAAAGTAGCACTCTGAAAGCAGGCAAGTATGGCACAAACACAAAACAAACTCACCTCTTCTTGAAACCAGAAATGCCATGTTTTTGTGAGGTATGTCACCCAGCCTGATTTCAGCTGGCATAAATCACTGCCATTTTACCAATAGCAAAGGGAAACAATCTCAGCTACTTCCTTTCAACAGAACTATACCCCAACTTCACATCACATTGGATTAGATGTAGTGAAAAGGCATGGATTTACCTTGAATTTTAATACAGCCTGAGACCTACTTTTAAAGATCAGCTGGAACCCAGTTGCCCTGATTGGACTCTATAATCTCACACACAAATTCACAAGTATGGTGAGACATATACCCATATCTCTTCCCCCTACATGCACATTCAGACATTATATTTATTTACTGTGTGTGCCACATTCATCTGAGAATTAGGACTGCAGCAAAACTAAACAGAGTGACAAGCTGTGCTGTTGTTGTTATGAGGTAAAAAGTTGTTATGAGTCGTCTCTGCATGAAAACAAGCTGCTCTAGGATCCGAGTTTCTTCCCAAACTGTAGTAGTGGTAAGATATCCTTTCAGATACCTACAGAGTTGAACACTGAGTGTATAATGACTACATTATATAAACAGAAGTTTCCATCAGATTTAGATTAGCCTTTATCACCCATAGCTAGGTTTCCTGTAAAATGCCACCTGAGGAAAGCACCATGCAACAATCAAAATGCATCCCTTCATAGTAAGAGAAATAGTAAATTAGAACAGTAAAATGCTTCACTTAATGCTGAGCTTGCATTTTTCATCTTTCTCAGTAATCTGTCCAACTCCACTTGGAGTTAAACAAAAGTAAAGGAAACCCATGCTTTCCTATGCAGTCTCTACTGCAAACCTATCTCATCTCCTACAAAGAGACAACAAAGACAGATTCAGTTTTGTCCTTATGTGAAAACTATTGCCTCTAAGTCAAATTCATAAGAAAGGCTTCGAGCGAAAGCATAAATTGATGTCAAACGTAGTGGTTCCTCAAAGCCTTAGAGTCTTTAAATTTGGAAGGTTCAGAGATCAGCCATAAGGAAGAGCAGGGAAGCAGCTCGTGTTCCCCAGCCAACATAGCACTTCTGCGTGCCCCGTTCTCACCTTGCATAGTGCAAACAGGAGCAGCTCAAGGAGACTCAGTGGATGGACTCTGTCCGCATAAAACACTCTCATAGAGTCTAATATGCCATCATTTTCACAGTCATCATTAGAGATAAAAAACCCTGGCAAAAGGGGGAGCAGAGGCCTGAAGTAATGAAGGACACATGGCCATCAAAATACTTCAACCTCACAACTCCTACAGATACCTCAAGTCTTTGGTGGATCATAAGACCCCTTGTACATTGGTATACACTGTTAGCAAGTGATGTAGTTAACACATTTCATGTGCAGAGGTGTTAATTTTGTTAATTTTTTTTGTTGTTCTACTCACATTTAGTCAAATAAGAGTCATAATATGTTACTAATGTTCAGTTCCCCTAGATTTTGATAAATATTTTTCTTTTGCAAACAGCTGATGTCTGCAGTGAACTGAGTGCTGTATAAAAGCTGTATGAAGATCTGCCTGCTCTGAAGAACTTGCACTCCAAGGACTTGAGAGGTAAAAAGAGGAAAGGGATAACAGCAAGTAAACAACAAACTACTGTGGCCTAAGCAGAAAGAACCGTGTCTTGCAGAATATGCCATCTAAGGAGTCTTTCTACCGTGCCTTTTGCAATCAGATATGTCTATCTCGTATTGGCCTCATAAGCCACCAGCGTGCCTGTAACAAATGTGGATAGAGCCTTCCTAAATCTTCGTTCGCAAAGCCTAGCCATGATATGATGATGATAACTGTGGCCTAAAACTTGCAACTAACCAGGCACTGATAACACAAACTGTTAGAAACACAACAGACTTGTTGAGACTGGAAGGTGACATATTTTGTACTGATACAAGGACACAGTGTTTCTTACCAATTTAAATTCACCTCTTTGGCACAGGATATCATCAAGGTTGAGAGCTTTGCAGGAATCAAAAAGATGCAAGATCGTATACAAGTATCAAGAATGGGCAGAATTATAGTAGCAAACCCTAAAGAAAAAGAAAAGAAAAAAAAAAAGAGAAAAGAAAGAAAAGGAAGACCTGCAAAGCCTCCTACCTCCAGGTGTAAATGAATTTTCCACCCATGGAAACTGAGAGAAAACTTCTCAAAGGTTAATTTTCAAATTGCCACTAGCTGTGAAACTTCTTGTCTCCTCTTTTGAAGCAGCTGGTGCTGTCTGCTGCCAGCTGCAGAAGACTGGCCTTCATCAACCTTGGGTTTGACCTGCTCTGGCAATTCTCCTTGTTGTATATATTGCAAGTGGAAAAAAAATCTGCTGTCACACAAGAAACCACAGACAAATATGTTTTAAAAGACAAGGTTATCCTTTTCTCCTTCCTCAGTGAAGGCTTGGAAATAGAGCTGCTTATATCTGGGATTTTCAAACATCCCAAATGTTTAGGAAGTAATGTATGACACCGAGAAGTCTGATAAAAACAAGTTCTATTCATCTTGTACATAACAGCACAACAAGGGGATATTTAATAAAAAAATATGAGTGCAATGAACAGAATTTGAAATTGCCTTAAAATCTCATCTCCACTTCGATGATTAATCAATTTCAGCAGCCGCTTATTGCTTAATGCACAGCACATCAACAGAGATTATTGCTGAAACAACAATTCCTCTTAGTCAATCCTAGCAGGGGCTGAAATTTTCCAGAGCAAAACAAATTATTCACACTGACGGGCCAATGATTGTCTGTAGAGAAGGACAGGTAACAGAATCTTTTCCAAAGACAAACATAACACATATTTTGGACCACTAAATGCGTCAAATACATTATCTTCTTTCAACTTTGTAAAACACCAATGCAGCAGTTCCTAAATGCACTGTGACTTGCTAATTCTCCTGAAACAGAGGATAATTATATTAACAAGTGACAGAACAGATATTATTTTCCTAGCTATGAGAAATGCAGCTCTAAGGCTCATAAATACTTCGGAAACCTCTAGCTGAAATCCTTGCCTCATTACCCACAGCTACTTTCTGTACAGGACTCTTTTATTCTGAATATGCATTTTAAACACCAGATCCGCATCATTTGGTGGAAACTGGGATCGTTCCTCTGATTTCAATAGAGCTATGCCAAACTGTATTGCCTATAGATCCAGCCAGGAAAGTAAAAAGATAGATGAGACATAACTGCTGTTTTAAGCATTTAGAAGAAAGTTTAAACACTTAATGTTAGGAAAAGAAAAAAGCCAGAGGGAAGGATCCAGATACAAAGCTGATTTTTCTCTCTCAGGCCTCTTTTTATACAGTGGCAAGCAGGTAGCCCCAGACCTATATTACCCATCTGCCTCAACCTTTCCTAGATGGAGCATTTTGCAGGAGGATGCCAGGGTCCTGTGGATATGAAAGTCTGTCTTACGTACCCACTCCAGGAATAAAGTGGATGACTCAGAGTGCAGATGGAGACTTTGAGCAAATCAGAAGAAACTTCACTACAGAAAATATCAGCAACAATTTTGGTCCATACCACAGAAATTAGGCTCTTGACAAATATTTGTTAAGAAAAACATATTTCCATTTATTTTCATCAGTGTCTTTCTCTACCTTCTGTACTAAACATCGATTATTCTCTGCAGCTTTCACAACATCTGCTTCTGGCAACTCCTGTGCTACCTGCGTGGTAACAGAAATCTTGCCATACTAGGCCTTGAAGGGTTTATTAATTCTGTAGCTGTTCACTGACAGAAACACTTTTAAGTACCATAAAAGTTGTGTATGCTCTTTAGAGAGGGTGCAATGGCAATCCCTTATTGTATATATAAAGAAAACACTTTTCTTTAAGAAAAGCAGTAAATACCATCTCTTTCTTTGTTATGAGAAACAGATCCTTGAAGAGACTGTTTTTGATGAGTGTCCCTAGCTGTGGATTTGTAGCCTGTGAAAAATGGGGGAGAGCACAGACATGTGTAAATGCAGTTAGTGCAGCCTCCTGACAGCCTCCTGAATTCGGTCTGCCTGATGGGGTTTGCTCCTTTTGAGAATACACTCTAAAACACAGACTTCTCTGTAGTATAATTACTATTTTTGTCTGCAATTATTATTACCAAAAAGAATGAGTTTCAAAAAATGCTATGCAGAGAAAAGTCTATAGCATCTTCATCATGGGTCATTAGTTTGTGTAAGGTCCATAGTGTTGTCCCCATGGTCAGTGCTTATAACAGAGCCCACATAACACAGTATAACCGTAGTAAAAAGCAAACCCAAATATCTTCGTGTGACTGGTATGAAAATTGCCCCCTTCTGCAGGATGTGCTTACAGATGGCTTTGCAAGGCCCTATTTCAGCCCTGACTCTGATTAAAGCAGGTATTCATCTTTGTGCCAAGAAGAGTGTCCATTGTCTGCCTTATAATACCAAAAAGGTTATTCAGGTCTGAAAACAATGGTGAACAATGGCTCTTCAGAGGGCCAAACAGCTGCAAAAGAGGAGGTTATCATATGCCAGAGCACATCAAATCTACCATAGTTCTGTAATGGATCCCAGGACCCAGTTCTCAGGACTGTAGTGCCATAGGGGACAAATCTCCCAGTCACTACAACCAACTGACTGTACAGTATCATTCACATCATACAGTACATATCCTACACACACAAACACATGCTCAGCATGCATTTATAAAATCTCAAACACTATTTCTGGGAAATATTCACATATCTCCACTACACTCCCGTCGTTTAAAAACCTTCAACAACAGTTAAAGAAAAGATCCTGGGAACTGACTTGCTGAAGACCACACAAAACTGAAAAATGACCAACACAGAGCCCACCTGCTCACAAATCAGGCAGCCTTGTCTTGAGTCAAGGTCAAGATAGGACTCTGCAAATGCAGTGCTCACCTTGGGAAGTAATGAGAAACACAGGTGTCCATCCAAACTCAAGCGTCTCTGCCAAAGGCTCTGGATTTTCAGGGAAATACAACCCAATGCCACCAAACAACAGTGTGAGCTCATATTTAGTCACGACCACAAGCAGAGCCAGGAGTGACACGTGCACTTCTGAGCCTCCCTGCAACTTGTCCAGAGAGTGATGTATTCCATGGAGCACCTGTCTGACTCACCTTTCCCAGCACAACAGTGACTGATATTCCTGGATTACTTTATCGTGACACATTTTATGTTGAATAACATTAGGTACACCTGTAGTTCATCATACTCAGTGCTGTAGCTGTTCCTGATACTCTTGCTTTGAAGTAAAATAGTAGAAAACCAGCAGGAACATTTTGTCCCAAGAGGATGAGAGTGACTTTGCCTTTTCTTTTATTCAAATCTTTTCCTGCAGCTCAGAGGAGCTTTACAAATGAAAAAGAATAAAGAACAGGTACTAAATTCTATTGAAAGCATGGATAACATTACCTAACAACAGTCCTGTATTAAGCTGTTCTTTTCAAAGACAGGGGATTGTACTGGGCCTAAGTGGGAGATGGGGTTAATTTTCTTCATAGCAACTTATATGGTGTTGTGGTTTAGATTTGTGACCAAAACAATGCCAATAACAGACAAATGTTTTATCCATTGCTGAACATTACTGTTTCTTACTCTGCTCCCCACCCTTGGTGGGGGCAGCACAGTAGGCCGGGCAGGGACATAACGAGGCAGATGACCCAAACTAGCCAAAGAGATATCCGTGGCATATATGTGTCATGCTCAGCAACTTAAAAAAAAAAAAAAGAGAGAGAAGGAGATTTAGGGAGGTTACGCATCTTTTGCTCTTTTGCTCAGGAATTAGCTGTGCATCGTGCTACCCGTGGGAGGTGGTGAGTGATGGCCTCTGCATAGCTTGTTTTGTTTTGCTTGCTTTCTTCTTCCATTTCTCCTGTGATTTTTAAGTTGGGGTTTTTTTGTGTGGTTTTTTTGTTTGGTTTTTTTTTTTATGTTTTTTTGTGTTTTTTTTTTTTAATCTTGAGCCATGAGTTTTCTCACTTTTTATCTTCCTTTTCTCTCCCTTCCTTCCCACTGGGACTTCGGTTTGAAGACAGGGAGGGAGGGAGCAGCTATGTGGTGCTTAGTTGCCTGTTGGGGTTAATTCACAAAAAGGCTTGTAACTAAAAACTTTTCATAGCTTACAGCCTTCTGTCACTGGGTAATGCCTGTGACCAGTGGACCACGCTGTCACTGGCCCTTGGCAGGTGTGCAAATGAATGTGGAAGGGCTACAGCAGTGACCTTCTTCTCTCCAGGTGGGTAGCATGCCACAGCCAATGCTTTCCCTAATTACAACTGCAAGGTAGACAGGGAGGCTAATTGCTGGGCTCCAGCCCTTCTCCTGCATACAGCTGAAGAAAGCACAAGGCCTGTGGTTTCAAGCTCAAAGCAGCTGAGGATTCATGAACAGATTTGAGGAAGGCTGAGATGAATGCTACACTCGGTGAGTTTTCTCATTATGTCACCAGTGTACTATTATGCAGTATTTTCACTCAAAATCCAGCTCCCAGCATCCTGTGACTAAATGAGAAATATTTTCTTCTCATTAAGAAGAGAAAGTTTCTAGAGCTTAAGGTCAGGTAGAAAAGGCAGAAAATACAAGGCTCACAAAATATCAACCAAGATCAGCATCTCATTTCTCTGTGATGACATTCTATTATTGATGTCAGAAAATAAAGAAGAACCTGGGAACAGACTCATACAAATCAGGGCATAAAAAAGATGGTGGGCTCAAAAGCTCAACTGCAGCATGGTCAACAAACAAGAAGAGTTGGAAGCAGTTGTGCAGCAGGAAAACCATGACATAACTGCAAACACAGGAACTGTGGTGGTTTGAGACCCCCAAAAATCCAGTTCCTGAGTCCAGGCTCCCCTCCCACAACTCACCCCAGTGTGAGAGGGGTTTTCCAGACACAACACAAGACTCAATATGGGGGGAAGGGAATTGTATTACAATCACTACACAAATAAATATTATAATACATTATATACATAATCTTAACTATCTCTCCTATGACAAAGCAGTATTTACATTGGATCAAATCTCTTTTCCCTCAAATAAAAGT